AACCAACACGTAAATAGCAAAGACAAAGAGACAACACCAATGCTTTCTAGCTTGGGTTTGAAATGCCGCATGCCGTTGTCGGAAACTTCCCCTAAACAACCGGAACAAGAGTTTTTTCAATGACAGCAAGTGTGTGTGTGTGTGTGTCCTACCCTGTTTCTAAGGGTTTCCACTCCAAAAAAGAATTTGCAAGCAGGGGCGTGTGACACTCTCGCCCTACCACACGCAACGAAGCTGTGGGCGAGAGAGGGAGCAGGGCCTGATCAGCCCTGCGTACCTGCCGTTCTACCAAGCTGTGACTCCATTCTTCCTTTGGTTTGTTTTCATGGTGGTTTTCACGCGACTCTCCCATAAACCTATTTCCGTCAGCCGCTTTGATTGCACAGCTGCAGTCATGAGTTCGAGCGAAACCATTTTGTTAAACACCTTCAACTTCAGTTCCGTGGGCACTTCACCTTTCCGTTGAGCCATTCCTTTCCTCCGGGGCTATGGTTAACTGCAAACCCATTGTCCAGCGTTTCATGCAGCACCGCGTGCCCTCCACAGCTGCCGGCGCCTGGCGACAACTGACGATATGTCCACCAACATGGACTTGACTTCAGCAGATGACCATAGCTTTGACCTAGCTCCAACGACTAGCCCGGACAGCTACCGACAGTCTCCAGGATCTCCATAGCATCTACCTTGTGCACACACACCAGGTGGATCCGCATTTTCAACCACCTCCTCCCTCCACCTCTGCGCCTCCTCCTTCTTTCCCAGCCAATCCCTTCCCTGTCATTTCATTTACATCCTCCCGCGCTACACCACCCCCACGCCCCCATCGCCCGCAACCCGCATCACCAGCTTCTCAACAGACACCTCTCCCACCAACTCCACAACCACGGCGACGCAAGCTTCCAAAACGCAAGCCACCACCACCTCCCCCAGATGATACCAACTGGGACGCCTGCGACGCAGACGCTGAGTGTCGTTTAGTCGATCTCAAGACAGACCCGAACCTCCTCTCCTCTCCTCTCCTCTCCTCTCCTCTCCTCTCCTCTCCTCTCCCCTGCTCTTCTTTCCTCTCTCTCTCTCTCTCTCCTTTCCTCTCCTCTCACCGTCACTCACATCGACACCACCAGCCCTTTTTTTCGAACTGGGGACATGTCAGTCTGACCGCTATTACTCCGGTTCGATGGGTGACACATCTCCCACCCCCACCCCCACCCCCTCCACTCATCGCAGTCAGCACACTGGCAGCGCAGCCTCTGAGCCTCTGAGCGCACGCCGCTCTGCAGCGCTTTGTGTGTGTCCTACCCTGCTTCTAAGGGTTTCCACCCCAAAAAAGAATTTGCAAGCAGGGGCGTGTGACACTCTCGCCCTACCACACGCAACGAAGCTGTGGGCGAGAGAGGGAGCAGGGCCTGATCAGCCCTGCGTACCTGCCGTTCTACCAAGCTGTGACTCCATTCTTCCTTTGGTTTGTTTTCATGGTGGTTTTCACGCGACTCTCCCATAAACCTATTTCCGTCAGCCGCTTTGATTGTACAGCTGCAGTCATGAGTTCGAGCGAAACCATTTTGTTAAAACACCTTCAACTTCAGTTCCGTGGGCACTTCACCTTTCCGTTGAGCCATTCCTTTCCTCCGGGGCTATGGTTAACTGCAAACCCATAGTCTAAGTGTGTCACACTCTGTGTCCAAGAGTACTTTTAACTTTAAGATGTTCAGCAGGGGGACACAGCATTTTGGGACTTTGTCCAATGAAGCTACCAGTGAAATGGGATATCCAGCTTGGCCAGCTGGACGTACCTGCTTCGATGATTCATTTCCTATTGGTCCCTGCTTTTCACAACTATTTTTGCCAGCTGCGTCGGTTCTGAGTTCTGCACAAGTGTAGCTTTCGGTGTCGAGCCGTGGAGCGGAGTTTGAGACTCTAAACCGTGGCGTCGTGGAGATCGTTAGACCGCCTTACGACCGGTTTTAAACTTCTATACTTAGGCTTCCCCAGGGCTTGGGCCATGATTTCAGTATTTCCCGAATGCGCGTTTTTTTAAAGGAGGGATTTGACTGTGCTGTGGACCGTTATTCAAGGCAAATATCCGATTCGAAAAAGGGAAACCGTTTTTCTGATTGTGTTGAATTTTGAGCAACAACTTTGGAACTTTTTGGTTTCTGACCGCATTTTCTTCTTGCAGGTGGCTGGAGGATCCCCTAAAGGAGTTGCGGGTCGCTTAGCTGATGCCTTGACTGCTGGAGGTCAAAAGCCCCCTGTCAGCATGACATGGTAGCTTCACAACGAGACGGTGTCCTTGCCTTCATGGTGGCCAAGCACTTGGAAACCATGGCGGGTGAATTGCGTGTGGGGGTTGGATTTTTTTTGATGAAACCATTCGCATGTGTTTTTTTCACGGGTCCTGTGTTTGAGTCGAAGGATTGAAGATGGAAGACACGTCCTAGAGTCAGCAAAATCTTTCTTTGGTCGCTCACCAAGTGGACTGCACAAGCAAAGCTCCAAGATCGGGTTGAATGCAGTTTTCTTAAGCCTGATGATTCATGATAGCTGAGGTTTGCAACCAATTCCTTTTCCCTTCACGGCAAGAAGACGTGGTCAGAAGGTTTCAACACACTTCAGCAGGCTGTGGACAGTAGTGGGGACATTCCCACCCTTGAGAACTCTGCAATCCGATGCCCGGCAAGCTCTAGCAAGAATTTATCACCGGATTGAGTGGAAAGGCTTTACGTTACTTTTGGGAGCATACATGCTTGACAACCCTATCTCCTCTACAGCACTGCTCACGTAACAACCAAGGAAGGCCCCTGATTGAAAACATCACCAAAGAAAAGCACGGCAATGTGTACTCGGAGGAGTATGCCAAGACCTTGGGCGGAATGATCGACAATGTTGAGTACCTGGCGGGACAGCTCCAGAACGTGACCTTGAGCACTACATGGCCAGAACCGCAAGATTGGTCGGCCAACCGTCTCTTGAAACAGTTCAAGACCATCTCCAAATTGGTTGCAAGTCGCACAACCAGGAAGGCGGAAAGAGAGTTCTTCTACGTGGAGCTTGGAGGTTTCGATACTCACAACGACGTGCACGAGACTTTGGATGAACTCTTTGCATTGGTGGACGAGGGACTGGACGTCTTTGTGAAGGAGATGAAAGCACAGGCAGGGCCAGAAAATGCTGAACTTCTTACTACGTTACTACTAGGAGGTAAGCGGTTTGCCAGTCCTCTAGTGGGTTTGATTGGTTTCGCGGATTCATGTTTGCAGTTGTGAGAACCCGTGTGCGCGCAAGGGCGTTTTTGAGTCTGTGGTGTTGGTGACCACCTCCGACTTTGGGCGCACCATGACCTCGAATGGCAAGGGCACGGACCACGGATGGGCAGGCAACACGTTTGTCTTGGGTGGCAACATACGCGGTGGTGAGATTTACAATGAGTTCCCTGCGTCCCTGGTTGAGGGAAACTTGTACGATGTTGGTAGAGGTCGGATGATTCCAAAGTACCCGTGGGAGAGTGTGATGCTGCCCATTGCAGAGTGGATGGGCATGGATGCACAGGACAAGAGCACCGTTTTCCCCAACCTACAGAACTTCAATTCCTCAAGGCTGCTTCCGACAAGCATGCTTTTCAATACGTAGCCAGTTGTGCAGATTGGGCTCGCTACACGAGTTAAGTCAGCACTGCGTTTTTCTACAGCAGGGGAGGTGGCTCCTCTTCAACACCCGCTGTAGAATGTCCCCCGTGAAGGATGCTGAAATTTTGCCGTGCCAGGCACGTATTTCTCGGAGGCCAACAAGTTGCCTCCAAACTGAGAGAACCATCAACAAACTATAGCAGACTTCGCCTGACTCTGTTGGAAAGCATTCCGTTTTCACAATGTTGTTCTAGCAGGTGCTTCTCTCCACATTTTTGAGGTTCCCATTGGGATCATTTGAATGATAGTTGCACCAAGATGTGCCAATTAAATCTTGGTACACCTGTCGAGGCATCTCTGCAATAGCAGACGTGCGGGTGCACAATGGCAGATGCCATACCAGGGCCATGAAACCCTGCCGTAGAAGCACATGCCCTGGTAGGGTGCAAGAGACGTGCCATGCAAAGCAAGGCAAATCTCCAGACCGCAAATTAGCGCAGCTTAAAATGGGCCCATGGAAGAGCACTGCAGTGAGGCGAACCGGAAACCCCAAAGACAGGCCGCTGTGACAAAAGCGGGAAGCCATGTATGACAATACAAAACGTGCCAACGCGTAAAGGAGTACCTTAGGGTGAGACGATGGGAAAGGGTACGGGAGAGTTTCGGAGAGTTTGCAGCAATTGCGTGGAGGATGTCACGCTGCCATGAGTGAGGCTCCCCCGATGGTGCTGCGCCTGCGTGGCGTCCGCTGCGCTTCATCCTGGTCACGATTTACGGCAGCTCAACATCTAAACTGCGATGGCCTCCAACCTACTAGGAATGGTCCAACCTAGTAGCGATGGCCTCCAGCCTAATAGGAACGGCCTCCAACCAGGCACCTCCAATGGTCTACATTTCCGGCGAGGAGACGGCATGGTGAAGAAGTTGGTGCAAGTGATGCTTTATGGACTTATGGTACACATAAACAACGCTCGTTCAGGAGATGTCCCGCTACACCATGGAGCTCATTATGGATAAATGGGTCAAGCCTTCGGTAGACATCTCGAAATGGGAGTTCTACGACTTGAGTTGCAAGGAAGCCGCCTTCGAAGTGCCAGAAAGAATGTTTGGCAATAATCTGGATGTGTAATGCAAGGGTGCCAGACAGTATTCCTACATAATTATTCCAAAAAAGAGATAGGAGGATGTGAAGCAGACTCAGTAAAGCACAAGCATTTTTGCCCGTTCCATGAGAGGAACGCGATGCCACAAATGACCAAGTGCTGAAGGACCCATCAGTAAGACGAATCAAGCTAAGTAAGAAACCAGTAAGAAACCAACCATTTTCAGCCACGTGGCGTGGTGCTATTCGGATTTGGCCGAGAAGCCGACAGAGCGAGAAAAGCGAGAAAGAGAAAGTTTTGCTTTGAACTAAAACCAACCTCATGAAAAAAGCCAAGACCCTTCAGGAATGACATTCAATGAAGTTGGAGTAACAAGAGCCCGCTACAGCGGTTTTAGATTGCCTTTTCTGTGCCTTTGGCAGGATGCTGTGGCCGCGGGAGCTCGCATTGGATCCATCTTTAAAGAGCATGCACCCCATTCAGATTTGGGCTGCTTTTATTAGGCTGGAGGCCATTGCTATCAGGTTGGAGGCCATTGCTACTAGGTTGGAGGCCATTGAGTAGGCCATTGCTATCAGGTTGGAGGCCATTGCTATTAGGCTGGAGGCCATTGTTATTAGGTTGGGGGCCATTCCTATCAGGTTGGAGGCCATTGCTATTAGGTTGGAGGCCATTGCTATTAGGTTGGAGGCCATTGCTAGGAGGCCATTGCTATTAGGCTGGAGGCCATTGTTATTAGGTTGGAGGCCATTGCTATCAGGTTGGAGGCCATTGCTATTAGGTTGGAGGCCATTGCTATTAGGTTGGAGGCCATTGCTAGGAGGCCATTGCTATCAGGTTGGAGGCCATTGCTATTAGGTTGGAGGCCATTGAGTAGGCCATTGCTATCAGGTTGGAGGCCATTGCTATTAGGCTGGAGGCCATTGTTATTAGGTTGGTGGCCATTCCTATCAGGTTGTAGGCCATTGCTATTAGGTTGGAGGCCATTGCTATTAGGTTGGAGGCCATTGCTATCAGGTTGGAGGCCATTGAGTAGTCCATTGCTATCAGGTTGGAGGCCATTGCTATTAGGCTGGAGGCCATT